TTCTTTAAAATAAATAAATAAATAAATAAATAAATAAATAAATAAATAAATAAAAGGAGGGAAAAGTTGAGTGCAACTGTTCGCATCTATTCCATAAAACAGATCTCTAAGCATGACTAGGCAACATATTGGTCCAGCCTTGACTGCTAAATGTTCTTGAGAGCAATAAAATAGTTTGTAATTCAGTTACAGACTGAAAGAGCTATAATTCAGTTATTTCACTAATTCAGACTATTCTTCAACTCAACTGGCCCAAATTCAAGCAGTTTACCACATATAGTGCTTTATTTATTTTTATTGAAAATGCAAAGTCATATTAAAGAACAACATTTAAATAAATTAAAAATCATTCCATATCCCCTTACACTAACACAATGAATTTCAGTTTTGCAAATTACCTTCCACATGCATAAAGATTTTACAAAATCACAATCATAGGGTTCATACTATTTTACATTGTGCTTACTTTACTTACTATTTTACAGACACGTCCATATTTCTAGTCTTCCAAATCATTATTTTAATAGCAGTATAACATTTCACTGTTTTTATTAGCCCATTTTCTTCTTTAACATGTAGATTATTTCCAATTTTTTGCTATTATAAGTAATACAGACATAAACATCTTCATGCATTTGCCTTTTTCTGGTTTGTTTGTTTTGCTTTTATATTATTCTTTAGGAGTAGAATTTAAGGGCAAAGATATGGTCATTTTTATGGCTCTTTCTATGTAGTACCAGGTTGCAATCCGAAAGGGTTGAATCTATTTATTTTATTTATTAAATATATTTCTTTATTGATTTCAGAGAGGATGGGAGAGGGAGAGAGAAATAGAAACATCAATGATGAGAGAGAATCATTGATCAGCTGCCTCCTGCATGCCCCACACTGGGGATCGAGCCTGCAACCTGGACATGTGCCCTTGGCCAGAATCAAACCTGGGACCCTTCAGTCTGCAGGCCGATGGTCTATCCACTGAGCCAAACCGACCAGGGCATTGTATGTATTTAAATGCCATCTAAAGTAAATGCATTTAAACAGTTTCTTTCTAAAATTAAAAAAAAGAAGTGTTAAGTAATTTTAAACTTCTGTATTTAAAGTTAAAAATAACTGTCTCTTTTTTAAAAAATGAAGGGTGTGGATAGATGGTCTAACAGATTACTAAAAGTTTAGATGAGTTAACTAAAGCAACGTTTCCCAACTTTTCTCAAGTTATAGCACACAGGGACAGTTATAGAAAATGGACAAAGGTGTTGCTGGCCCAGAAATTCCAGCCACCCAGGTCACTTATGGCTGCCCCAAGGGTTATGAGGATCCACATCTAGGCACAAGTATGACCAAAAGTGCCTGTGTGCATGGGCTGGGAACCTCTAATTGAGGAGAGGTTCTAGTTAGTGGCAGAGCTGGGAAATGGATGCAAACTTCTCATCAAGGTATTTTCTACTATATTACAACTGTTCTGCATGCTTTCTGGCTCTAAAATTCAATTTTATATGCAGACATGTCTATACTTAAGAATAAAGAGGATTTTCTAACATGCTTAAAAGAAAGATACCTAATCTAGTGATTTATATCAAAGCTGCATATTAAAAACAGTTCTTACTATCAGCAAATGTTTGACTATTTTCTTTGCAATTTTTCAGATATGCCATTCTTTTACATTTAGTTTGTAAACTCTCAACAGTAATTATCTTTTGCACAGTATCTTGTATATCTGTTAGTCAGTAAATAAAGAATAACAATGAATATACACACAACAAAGGAAAAAAAACTAGATTTAAAGTAAGACCACATTCTAAATAATTCTAAAGGTGATAAAAAATTTTTTTTAAAGTGTTGATTTTGCAGAGGTAGAGAAGATTCCCTCCTTAAATTTCAAATTCCCTACTAGCTAAATAGAACCTTAATGTACACTGTCAATTACATTAGAGGGTCATAAGAGACATTTCATTCCAAAGAATGATTCTGTCCTGCACCCAGTGTTCATGCTACCAGGAGAAAAAATTTACTACAAAGGCATTTCACCTTTCACCAAGTGTCCAATATTCCATACCACCTTCAAAAATCAGAGATTATAGATGCTAACCCATTGCTTCAACTGCAAACATACATTAGATTTCTCTTGATCATTCATCACTGGGTTGAGGTATAGAGTGGGTGTTAGAAATGAAAATTTACCTATTATGTGCCAGGCCACAACAAGAAGCAAGGAACTCCAAACTCTGCATTTTTTTTACTACACCCCAAAACAGTGATTACTTGGTCATTTCTACAAATTCAATCAGACATTATACACACAAACACATCCGTGGGACCGCATGGCACTTGGAAGATTACCCACGATTTCCCACTTATTAAGGTCTGGATCATACTTTTCAATGCTCTGAAGATATGTTCCCTTTGAATAGGAATATCCCCCAGTGACATAGATACATCCATTCATGATGACAGCACCACACTCCATCCTTCTTTCCATCATGGGAGCTATCTCTCTCCACTCATTTTGTTCAGGGTCATAGCATTCCGTGATTGTAGTTTGTCCGCCAACTAGATAGAGCTTACTTTCAAATGGAACTGAACACAGTCCATATTCTATTAAAAAGAAAAAAGCAAATTTTATTAGGATAACAGACAAAAGAGATACCTTAGGATGGTGATGTAATGATCCTTTATAATTATGCATACAAACATAGAGTAGTCGTGACATTTTGACTCCAGCACACATTACCACAACACTGGGCCATAAGATCCATTCCCTTTCACCTGCCATGCTCTCTACCACATTACCCTGTTTTAATTCTCTCTATAGCACTTTTCATGATCTGGTGTGTGACTTGTTTCCTGGATCCCTGCCATCTGCTCCATTTCCAGTTGGAGAATGGCAAGTGTATGGACCCAATAAGTGTTTGTTGGATCAATGAATAAATCGTACCCTTTGCCTTCTGTGCCTAAATATGCCCTCCTGTGATTTTGTGAAAGAAAAGCTTTATAAGCCCCTCTTCAGAAAGAGACAATGTGAGATCAAAAATGTGATTTCCCCATTAAGAATGGAAGACAGATTTTTATCAGTTAAGTTCTTGCTATCTAGGTTTTAAAGGCTAAAGAAGACTCAGAAGATGGGCATTTTTGCTTTGAGTCCACATTCTGTTGTTGTCAAGTTTCTGACAAGAAAATAAGAATTCTCCCACCTCTGAAAAACCCATTTGTTCCTTTCCAGTTATATACACGTAGAATTTTTATTGGATTTAGTTGCTTAAAATATTTGTGAAACATTGTTTATATAAATTACTAGAGAACCAGTGCACAAAATTCGTGCACAGGTAGGGTCCCTAGGCCTAGCCAGCAATCAGGGCCAATCAGGTTCCCCGCCTCCCTGCCTCCCCCTTCCCTTGATCCCTCAGCGCCCTGCCATGTTTTGCACCGCCCCCTGGTGGTCAGCGCACATCATACCGAGTGACTGAACTCCAGGTCTCCTGGTCAAACTCCTGAGGGGACAATTTGCATATTAGCCTTTTATTATATAGGAGGATATGAATCATTCCATCAAATGGTTATTGTGAAAATTCATGATGACACAAAAAATTTTATGAGTTGATGTGATTCAACAATGAGTTCACGAGGCTTTTCTTAAATTATTCAAAGTTTACCAAAAAACCCTCTATTTGTGGTTTGTATATTAAGAGAGATATCTTGCCTAGCTGGCATGGCTCAGTGGTTGAGCATTGACCTATAAACCAGGAGGTCACAGTTCAATTCCTGGTCAGGGCACATGCCTGGGTTTCGGGCTCCATCCCATGTGGGGTATGCAGGGGGCAGCCAATCAATGAGTCTCTCTCATCATTGATGTCTCTGTCTCTCTCTCCCTCTCCCTGCCTCTCTGAAATCAATAAAAATACATTAAAAAATAAAAGAAAGATATCTCAATCTTCCTATAGCAATAAATATATTTAAAATAAAGTGATTCCTGCCCTAGCTGGTTTGGCTCAGTAGATAGTCAGCCTTTGGACCGAAGGGTCCCGGTTTCGACTCTGGTCAAGGGCATGTACCTCAGTTACAGGCACCTCCCTGACCCGGGCCCTCTCTCTTCCACTCTCTCTCAAAACCAATGGAAAAAATATCCTCGGGTGAAGATTAAAAATAAAATAAAGTGATTCCTGATAATTTTTCCCATTACCCAAATACAACATAAAGTTCTATTACATTGATGGAAACTCTTTCTTCTTCAGCTGTAACTGCCTTGTTTCTTGTTGGTCACTCTATGAAGTAACTGAGGCCAAGGGGCTGAATCTTATTTATTGTGCTCTCAGCACTAAAAGTAGCATATAGAAAGCACTCAGCAAATATCTGTTAGACAAATGAATAAATGAACAATTTCAAACCAAGCATGGGAATAGTGCCATTTGTCACGGCTCTGAGTTTACACACAAATATTTACTACAAATTCATGGCAGTCTGCATTAGGTATTACATGAGTGAAGTGAAAAAACCCATGCAGGATTCAGAGACAACCACAATATTTTCATGTATGAAATATTCTTTGAAATGATTTCAAATTTTTTTTTTTCCTAAACAGATGTGAGGAATGTTATAGATTTGACATTGACCCTGGAGTGACTGTCAACTCCTTTCTCTCCCTCATTTCCTGTATCTAATCAGTCAAGATAGCAATCACTCTTCTGACTAAAAAGACCTATACAGCTTATGTAACATAACTTCCTTATCCCATTGGAAAGTAAGAACCAAGAGCTAAGCTGTTACTCTGGAGAGCCAGGAGAGAGCTCTCTTCCCACATGACACAGCCATCCACCGCTTTTTCTCCTTTATCACTTACAGCTGCTTCGCTGTTCTTCATACCCTCTTCTTCCTCAACTCACCCCTTAACTAATGCTATTTCTCAAGGTTCTGCCCATGGCTGTACTGTTGGTCCCACCCTCCCAAGACATCTCATTCATCCCCACACCCTGAGCCATCACCTCCAAGTAAACAACTCCCAGATCTATATTTAGCTGCATTCTTCCTCCTGAGTTGCAGAACCGCAATTCCTATTGCTTTCTGGACAGCTCCTCTGGTTATCCAACTCATTTTTCACATTCAACTATAAAACTGAGCTCATTATCTCTCCTCTTCTCCCTTCCTATTGGCTGTTCCTTCAATCCTCCCCATCCTCCCAGTCAACCAGCCAGAGACCTTGGAATGACTGTCAACTACTTTCTCTCCCTCATTTCCTGTATCTAACCAGTCAAAACAGCAATCACTACCAATTCAATCAATGTCGAATCTATGACATTCCTCATATCTGCCCATTTTCTACTCTACCACTTCAGGCTTTCAGCAATTCCTACTTGGTTTATTACCAATAGTTTTAGTAGATCTCACTGCTGTCTTTCTCCCAATCTATTCTAAAAGGAGCTCTCTTCTTAAAACTAGAACGGATCACACCCCATTCTCTTGCTCTGACGCCTCTGACAGTTCTTCATTTTTAAACTTTCCTGGCTCATATTTCTTCCTGACAGCAATCACTGTGGCCAAGTAGTGGTTGTTGCCTTTAGATGAGGCTTGTATGCTCTGCAGCATCAGTCTCTCCAGGAATCAAGAGCCATTCAAAGCCCTCCATGGTACACTCCTCAACTGAACTTTCCCATCCAGTCTCTCATTCTACCCTCTTACATCTCATTCATATATATCTACTCCAGGTACTGAAATAAACCTGGAACTTTCCCTTCTGCCTTCCTTCATTGGCTAATTTTCTGCCAGAAAACCTTCCTCAAAAACTACCTTCCTTAATTGCAGCCATTAAGGCCTAAATCATAACAAGCTACTCCTGAAGCTTCTAGATTCCCCTTAATTAGACTCGAGCTCTCTCTCCCCTCAATTTCAATAGCAGGTATTTGTAAGATTGTCTTGTATTCACATTATGAATGTACATTTGCTACTAGATTCTGAGTTCCTTTGGTAGTAGAGACTATCCTTTAATTATCTTTGTATCTTACATAATAACTGGAATGATATCTTTCCCCAAGCAAGGTCTCAAAAAATATTATGTTCGATTCCTGGTCAGGTCACATGCCTGGGCTTGAGGCAGTCAATCGATGTTTAGCTCTCACATCAATGTTTCTATCTCTCTCTCCTTATCCTATCTTCTCTCTCTCAAAATCAATTTTTAAAAAAACATTAAAAAATAAAAGATCATGATTATATTATGTTCTAAAAATAATAGTAGTCTAAGCTATATATCTATAAGGTAGACTCAACACTGACATTCTTCAGGAGGTGCTCCTAAAATGCTAAGAAGCTAACCTTGTACCTGGGAGGATGGGTAGGGGCTGGGAGGAGGGGGGTAAAAGGGAGGGAAATGGGAGATAGCTATAATACTATCAACAATAAAAAATATATTTAGAAAGAAAAGAAGAAGCAGACCTTGCTATAATTTAGACGATGTAGATCCAAATGCCTCTAAGGCAGTGGTTCTCAACCTTCTGGCCCTTTAAATACAGTTCCTCATGTTGTGACCCAACCATAAAATTATTTTCGTTGCTACTTCATAACTGTAATGTTGCTACTGTTATGAATTGTAATGTAAATATCTGATATGCAGGATGGTCTTAGGTGACCCCTGTGAAAGGGTCGTTGGACCGCCAAAAGGGTCGCGACCCACAGGTTGAGAACCGCTGCTCTAAGGGCTAAGGAGATAACAGACTAGCAGAACGAAGCAGGCTAGGGGTAAAAACAACAGCACGGGCCCTAGTTCTGTGATGTGAGGAGAATGGGAGATACTACTGACGGGGAGCATACAAGCCTCATCTAAAGGCAACAGCCACTACTTGGCCACAGTGATTGCTGTCAGGAAGGGGTATGAGCCAGATCTGCCAAGTTTTCTAAGACCAGAAATCATGGTTTTTATTTGAAATCTCCTGAATTTTAAATATTGGTAACAAGCCAGTTCAAAAATATTTTAAACACTGTAAGAGCCAAACAGAATATCCCATGCAGAGTGCTAATTTGATAACTTTGTTTCTTATATTACTTCAGGGAAAAATCTAATGTAAATCAAAACTTTAAAAATTGGATTATAAGTTCCCCCTGATTTATACTGTAATTTAATATTTATTTCTAATTGATTTTTCAATTTGTCATGGCTTTTCACACCTTGGCTTAAGTCTCACTGACTTTTAGACTTTTTCAAGCAGTGAACAAGTTATATGTAATTAGAACATGCTATGGGATATTTATTTTTCAAAGAACCCCTTTATGAAATATATATTATTTATAATGTAAATAACTATCCTCTAGTTTGTTAATCTGACTTTTCATATATTGGATTTTCTTTGTAAAGCTAAATCAGAGTAATAGCTAACTCATAAGGTTAACAGGAGGATCAAATGAGATAACAGTGTAGTTGTGAAGAGCATGGTGTTCCCAGGCAGATTGCCTGGATTAAAACCTCACCTCTAACGAGCACTAGCTGGCTGACCTTGAGCAATTTATTTACTGTGTGCCTTAGAAAATAGAGATAATAATAGCATCTAGCTCACAAGGTTTCGGTAAGGTTTACGTGGATGAACACATGTAAAACTATTGGAATAGTTAGTTCCTGGCCCATTCTTACTGAATAAATGTTAGCTATTACTCAATATGAGCTGTTAATATTATTTTCCATTATAACTTCATTGGTCATATGGAAAGTGGTGGGAGTCTGCGATAGTACATATGGGCTAGTAGGAAACAGTGTCTCCATTCCATGACGTCTTCAGAGCCAGGACAGCCTGAGGCTGAAGTGTCTTCTTATGCAAAGCCCATGACATACGGAGATGCAGCACCTGATTCAGGTGTGCTCTACCTGAACTGTGAGATGACATATGTGACCTATGGGTATTAGTAGCTGCACTGGTTAAAAGCTGGAGAGTCTGATCCCTTAAGGAGAGGCAGCCTGCTTAGTAGTTATAGTACAGGTTATGCAATCTGTCTGAACTGAATCCTCATCTATCACTTCCAAACTGTGTGTCTTTGGCAAAGGTACCTATCCTTTCTAAGCCTCCATTTCCAAATATGTAACAGGTAAACAATACCTACTAACAGGGTTGTGGTTAGAATTTAAGGTAATATTACATGCAAAGTGTTTAGTTAATACCTGGCCTATGAGAAGTGCTCAAGGTTAGCTGTTACTATTACTCTCAGAGGGTTCCAGCTTGTGAATTTCAGTTACGCTCCCCAGTAACCCACATGGAAGCCTGATGCTATATGGAAAATGACTCAAAAGTAGTATGGTGATTTGGTGATATAAATCTTTCCTAATGAAAAACTTAAACATAAGGCATAACTGTAACAGGACATAGCTTATGCTTTCCCCAAGTTCTTTAAAGACACAAGTCAAAGAACAAAAGACACCAAAGAAAGCAGGCCATTCCTTGTGGGCAGACATGTCTTTATGGTTGTTAAAGTAAGGCCAACATAAGGCTCTACACGTGGTAGGAGGGAGTGCTTAATAGTTATTGAAACCCAGAAAGAGTCTGCTTCTAAAAGAAGAAAACATCTCCTGCTGACCTGAGTCACTCGGTACCCTTCCCAACTATTTGATAGATTAGTGCCTTTTATCTGTCTATAAAAATTATGTTTTATATAATGCATGTAAATGAAAGAAAGCACATAAGGAAAACAAAAAAGAATCTAAGTGAAAAAAATGTTTCTTTAATATACTTTTATTGATTTCAGAGAGGAAGCGAGAGGGAGAGAGAGACAGAAACATCAATGATGAGAATCATTGACTGGCTGCCTCCTGCACATCCCCCACTGGGGATCGAGCCTGCAACCTGGGCATGTGCCCTTGTCTGGAATCAAACCCGGGACCCTTCAGTCTGTAGGCCGATGTTCTATCCACTGAGCCAAACCAGCTAGGGCTGAAAATTTTTTTTAAAGAAACTACTTTTAATCACAGAGGCTTAAAATGTATGTTGTGTAATGACATGAGGGGAAGTATCTGTAGACATGATCTAATCTGAATAATCTAAATTGTGATTATTGTTACATGGACACATGAATATTTTGAGCCTTTTAATTAAACCCATGTGTAATCTACTATAAACTTAGCATTTTCCTATTTCCGGCCCATTTTTAGCCATCTTTCACACTGATAGGCTGTGTATCACGACATGCACTATTCAGACAGCATTTTGTTACCTGGATGGGGACCAGAAGTGATGAGGCTCCATTCATTGATATCCGAATTGTAGCTCTGGACCTTGTCATAGGTGCAGCTCCCTCTGTAGCCACAGTGTCCACCAATGACGTAGATAACTTCATGTAAGACACAGGCCGTAGCATTTCCCACACCTGTGTGTTAATTAAAATCACATCCTCAGATTAATCTTTCATTCTGCTTTGCAATGAATACTGTATTGTCTTTGTTATTATGGATAGTAGATATAAGGCACTGTCCTAGGTGCTCTGAGGGATAGAAGAATGAAAAAGAAAGGCTCCTGCCCAGATAGCGTGTCTCAGTGGTGGAGCGTCGACCTATAAATCAGGCGTTCACGGTTCGATTTCTGGTCAGGGCACAGGCTCAATCCCCAGTATGCGGCGTGCAGGAGGCAGCCGATCGAAAATTCTCTCTCATCGTTTACGTTTCTATCTCCCTCTCCCTCTCCATTCCTCTCTGAAATCAATAAAAATATTTTAAAAAAATAAAAAGAAAGGCTCCTTATCCTCTTTTAAAAGAGGATGAGACATTTACACAACTAGAACACAGGGTACAGACCTACTACTGTGGATGTGCAAAACAAAGAGACATTACTTTTGACTAGGGAAATCATGGCAGGAGGTGGCAATATTTGACTTGGGCCTTAGTAAGTAGGACTTTGGCAGGCAGAGGTGAGAGGAAGCCACTGAAGTGAGGGCAAGGCAAGTGCAAAGGCTTACTGGACAATTCAAGTAGTTGTTTTGATTCTGCCACCCTGGAAGTGACGGTGACACACCTGGGGTTGACCTGTGGCAATTAAAGCTGGCAGAGTAAGTTGGAGCCACGTGGCAAAGAATCCTGATGCCCAATTTAAAAATTTGCACTTGATTCAACAGGATTTTGTTGTTGTTAATCCTCACCCGAGGATATTTTTCCATTGATTTTTTTAGGGAGAGCAGAAGAGAGAGAGGGAAAGATAGAGAGAATCATCGATGTGAGAGAAACACATCAATTGGTTGCCTCCTGCATGAATCCCGACCAGGGCCCAGGCTGGGGAGAAGCCTGGAACCAAGGACCAGAATCGAACCCGGGACCCTTTGGTTCGCAAGCTTTATCCACTCTGCCAAACCAGTAAGGCGATTCAACAGGATTTTTAAAGTTTTAAACAAAGGAAAGGAGGGACTACAGCATAGAAGGATAGAATTGGTCCAGGTGCAAAGTGTTGAGGGCCTGAGTTAGAAGCAGTCTTGGTATAGAGCAGTGGTTCTCAACCTTCCTAATGCCGCGACCCTTTAATACAGTTCCTCATGTTGTGGTGACCCCCAACCATAAAATTATTTTCGTTGCTACTTCATAACTGTAATTTTGCTACTGTTATGAATCGTAATGTAAATATCTGCTATGCAGGATGTATTTTCATTGTTACAAATTGAACATAATTAAAGCATAGTGATTAGTCACAAAAACAATATATAATTATATGTGTTTTCCGATGGTCTTAGGCGACCCCTGTGAAAGGGTCGTTCGACAAGGGCCTTGATGACTGATTGAGTTGAAGACAAGACGGATTCTGAGGTCCCTAGCTCAGAAAACCGGGAAACACTGATGCCACAGAAAAATGAGAAAGAGAAAATGGTTTCGGCAGGGGAACAAGAAGAGAGAAAGAATGATGATGAAACTCATTTTAGTCAAAATGTCAGCTTAATCTTTCAACCGACTTTTATTTTCAAATATTGCATGGTGGGTGCAGTTTAGGCTCCTTGTTCATTTCTACTCCAAAACAAAACTGAGTTTATTTCTTTAGTATGTTTTTATTGATTTTTAGAGAGAGAAGGAGAAGGATAGAGAGATAAAAACATCAATGAGAGAGAAAACCTCATTGATCAGCTGCCTCTTGTACTCCTCCCCCCGACCACCTCCACTCCCACTCCCAATGGGAATGGAGCCTGCAACCCAGTATGTGCCTTGACCGGGAATAGAACTAGTGACCTCTTGATTCCTGGGTTGATGTTCAACCACTGAGCCACTCCAGCAGGGCCAAAAGTGAGTTTATAAGCAGGGCAGTTATGATGAGAGGGATAAGAAAAGTTACGAGTTCCTAAAAAGCCATCTATTTATTTCTTCTCTGTACCTCCCTCAACCAAAAGAGGAAATTAACTTGAAATTTGACTCTACCCAATTTAAGGTCTCATTCCCCGGGAAAGAAGCTAGTTCACTTCGAGACTACAAAATAAAACAAACTGGGGGAAAATGTTCTCCTTTCTACATAAGAACGGGAAACTAGAAGTTCATCATGAGTCTGAGCATCAGAACTAGCCAAAACTGCACATAACTGACAAAGGGTTACCCTTCCCTGGGATGATGAGGTATAATCAGGAATCAAACCTTCAAGGTAAAAGCATAAAACTTTGACATTTCAAACCCAGCTGGTAGGTGAGGGAGGACTTTTGCATATGAGGGCCTCCCATTCCTCTTAAGCTGTCAAGAACACATTCAGCTTTCTTTCATGGTGGATACACCATTGCGGCATTTTATTTTCAGCAAGCATTGCTTCAAAAGTTTTAACAAAATTTCAGTAAAGTCATAGGTTTCTGCCCTCAAAGCAATATAATGTAAACTACAAAATCACTGAAACTTAAAAAAAAAAAAAATCACTGAAACTTATCATTAAGAAGCAGAGGCAGCCAAACAGGTGTGGCTCAATGGTTGAGCACCGGCCTATGAACCAGGAGGTTCAATTCCCATCAGGGCACATGCCCGGGGTTGCAGGTTCGATCCCCAATGGGGGGCAGCCGATCAATGGTTCTTTCTCAACATTGTTGTTTCTATTCCTCTCTCCCTCTCCCTTCCTCTCTCTGAAATCAACAAAAACATTTTTTTATTTTTAAAATTATTTTATTATTTATATATTTGTTTTTCAACATCTTTTTTTTTTTTTTTAATCCTCACCCGAGGGTATTTTTCCATTGATTTTTAGAGAGAGTGAAAGAGAGAGGGAAAGACAGAGAGAAATATCAATGGGAGAGCAACATCGATTGGTTGCCTCCTGCACTCGCCCTGGAGCCTGCAACCGAGGTACATGCCCTTGACCCTGGGACCCTTCAGTCCACAGGCTGACGCTCTATCCACTGAGCCAAACTGGCTAAGGCAACAAAAACATTTTTTTAAAAAAGAAAAGAAACAGAGGCAGGAACGTATCTAAGTTTACAATAACTGCTAAAATATTTGCAGTGCCCTTATTTCTTTTGTAAAAGAGGAGTCGGACAGGATTTGGAATCACCATGGAGAGGGGACTGAAAATCTGTTAAGTGGGGGTCATGCTCAGGTAGAGTAAAAAATCCGAGCAGCAATAGCAGCGGGCTTTAAGCCACCTTTTTCCACCCTACCAACCATTTCTGCACCGTTGGGCATGAAGGAGAGTGGTCAGGATTTAAGATGAAAAATACTTCTGCCCCCTCAAAGCTGACATATTCTTCTATAATGATGTTCCTGAGTACAATGCCTAATGCTGCTAAGTGCTTCCCATGCATAAATTCATTTAATCCTCTCAAAACTCTAAACTAAGTCATGTCACCCCCATTGTACAGATGGCCATTTGCCGAAGCTCGCCAGCAAATGAGTGGAAAGTTGGGATTTGGACTCGGGCAGTTCCATTTCAGAAGCAGCGTGCCTGATCACAAGACTACTTTGCCTCTCAGGCTTCCTGCTTGTCATCCAAGGATCATACCGGGTCAGATTCCCACGCCAGGTCAGATTCCCACACCCTCGCCAGTGTTAAAAAAGAAACAGAAAGGCCTGGGAAGAAACATTTGGAATAAAATGACACAAATTTGGTAACCAACCACCAATTGTTTTAGTGCAACTCCCCAGCACCAAAAAAATAAATGTAATTAAGATTCCAGTGTAACTTTTTTCCGGGGGGGAGGGAAGGAGAGCAAGGCTAATCTAGTACCAAACAGCTAGTGCCTGCCTCTCTCTTTAACACTACGAGACAAGACTTGAATCAAAAAAGCAGAGGCTCAACAAAGAAGTGCTGGCGAGGATGTGGAGAAAAGGGAACCCTCGTGCACTGTTAGTGGGGATGCAGACTGGCACAGCCACTGTGGAAAACCGTATGGAGTTTCCTCAAAGAATTAAAAGTGGATCTGCCTTTTGACCCAGTGATCCCACTTCTAGGAATATATCCGAAGAAACCTGAAACACTAATTCGAGAGACTATATGCAGCTCTGTGTTCATAACAGCATTGTTTACAATAGCCAAGATCTGGGAACAGCCCAAGTGTCCAAAAGCTGTGGTACATTTACACAATGGAATACTACTAGGCCATACAAAAAAGAAAGAACACCTTACCTTTTGTGACAGCATGAATGAACCTGAAGATTATAATGCTAAGTGAAATAAGCCAGTCAAAGAAAGACAAATACCATATGATCTCACTAATATGTGGAATCTAATGAACAAAATAAACTGAGGAACAAAACAGAAACAGATGCATGGATATATGAAACAGACTAACAGCTGTCAGAGGGGAGAGAGCTTTTTTGGGGGAGGGGGGACTGGATGAAAGAAGGTGAGGGAATCAAGCAAAAATCAAACAAACAAACCATAAGATACCTATATAACACATAAATACAGATAACAGTGTGGTGACTGCCAGAGGAAAAGGGCAGTGGGGAGTAAGTGGAGGTGGGCAAAGAGGGGGAGAATGGGGACAGAAAGAGACTTTGCTTGGGTGATGGGACCACAATGCCATGTGCAGATGATGTTTTGTTGAGTTGTACACTTGAAACCTGTATGGTTTTGTGAACCAATGTCACCCCAATAAATTCAATTTAAAAAAAAAGCAGAGCCTATATCTAGTTTTTGAGAGAATGTAATTTGTTATACCCTCAGGGGCCAAAACTTTCAAGGTTTTAATGAAAGATCACCCTGGCTGGTATGGCTTAGTGGGTTGAGCATTGTCCCGTGTATCAAAAGGTCGCCAGTTCCATTCCCGGTCAGGGCACATGCCCTCATTGCCGGCTTGATCCCCAGTATGGGGTGAGCAGGAGGCAACTGATCAATGATTCTCTCTCATCACTGATGTTTCTCTCTCTCTCTCTCTCCCCCCCTTCCTCTCAGAAATCAAAAAATATATATTTAAAAATAAGAAAATAAAAAATAGATCTCAAAACAGGTTGTAGAGTCAGAAGAATGAATTATACTGGTTTCTAATATAAAAATGTCTTTTCTAGCCTGAGTATTCTAAACACATATATCTCAGAGAAGTTGGGGACTGCTATACTATGCTTTTACTTGGAACATTCTGCACAACATTATTTGTATAATCCACTCTAGTTCCTAGCTAGCATTCCAAGTAAATTCTTTTTCAAGCTATTTGCAAGAGAAGCAAGACTGTTGGCCTAACCTTAAACACCTAAAAAAATACAGAAAAAGCATAATCTGCACTTACCTTTAATCATGTTTGCAATGGGAATCCATTTCTCTTTTAATGGATCATAGAACTCGGCCTCTTCTGCTGGAGCCCCTTTTCTGTAACCACCTAAAGCATAGACACAGCCACCCAAGGTGACTGCACAGTGGTAATACCTGGCATTGAGCATTGGCAAACCTTCCGTCCATTCATCACTTTCACTGTTATAGATCCACACTGTGTCAAGAGCTTCTATGTTATCTGTCCTGTAACCCCCAGTTACATAAATGTTGGGTCCCAAACATGTAACACCATAGCTCTCCCTAGTATAATCTGGTATTTCTGCTCCCTGAATCCACACATTTGTCAAAGGATCCCATATGTGGACCTCTGATAAAGGATGCCAGTAATAGCCTCCAATGATATACATTGTGGCTGTGGACCTCTGGGAAAGCTCTTTATGCATGGGGTTCAAAGCATTGTATATCAGAGACCGTATCTTATTTTCGGTTAGTAGGCAGCTTCTTTGAAGGCCTAAAGCTGTTTTTAAATACACTGGATCTATATCTATGTTGATATAGCTTAGTAGATTATACAGGTAGTCAATTCGATTTCCTACATCGTAAGCAGTCCACTTAATAACTGGCTCTATGATGGCTTCTTCTTTCCAAACACTGAGATTCTTTCTGGACAAGATAAAAAGCAACTTTTCAAAGCTGATTTCCAGAAATTCTTCTTGTTGCCATACTTCCTTAAACCTTGAACACAGGATTCTCTGAGATTCCTTCTCTAGTTCTGGACACACGTGAAATTCTGCAAAGGAGTGCATTCCAATACAGTTATCAATATCCAGATGCCTTACCAAAAACTGCTCACAAGCTTTCTTTACTGAGAGGAACTGCAGCAGATCTGCTGCTTCAAGCAGGCTTTGAACATTTCTTTTCGTTATTTCAATTTGAGAAGTGTATGCATAATTTACAAGACCTTCCAAAATATCATGGTGGATGCCAAAGATTTTTATTTTATTTTTAAATTTTTCTTTCATGTCAGCTGTGAACATTGCCTTAAAATAATTGCTGCAAGCAGCTAAAACAGCTCGGTGACAATGGAAGATTATGCCTGACGGGCACTGAAGGGTGATATCAGTAAATAATCCATCCAAGTAAAAGGTTTTGAATGCATCCAGAAAATCCACTGGATGCGCTGAGTCCTTAAAAAGGTAAATATAATCTTCTTGTCCTTTCAGAGCCATGGCTGCAATAAATATGAAACAATAAACGTGCTTTCAATTGTGCATATTACCTCAAATAATCAATACTAAACATTCCAATCATTAGAATGACTGCTTAGCGCCAAATAAAATCCAAAACTAGACTAAGTTCAACATTCTAAATGCAAAAGGTGGATGGACTATTTCGTAATTTGGATGATGGTCCTTTTAAATTCGGGGTAGCTCGGAGCCTGCAATGAAGCCCCCGGATTTTTCAATAGTCCTTTCTAGAAAAAAATTTTTTTAATTTCCTACCCCAATTACACCGTCTCCCTCTGTCCCGAGCAGGCGTCCGAGAGACAGCCCACTCTTGGCAAACAAAGTGCCCGAGGGGTCACCCCATTCAACCGAGAGGGGCCGGCCTCGGTTCGATCCCCATTCAACCGTTTTCGCTTTCAGGTCGCTTCGAGATGCCAAGCGAGGGATGATCGAGAGATAATGGGACCCGAGGTCCTGGAAAAGGGGAGCCCTGTGCCTCTCCGGAGGAAGGAAGGAGAGAAAGGAGAGCGGCGCGCCCCTCCCCGCGGTGCCAGGGGTTGCC